ATGTCGGCGAATAGTAGCCACCCTTTTTCTTGAACCTGCAATGGGTTCGAAGGTCGAATTGTCTCAATTCGATGGAAATGAGGATTACTCATTTGGAAGCAGAAAATGAGGGTCATATTGGTCCAACAAAGGGTTGCTAAAGCCCTTGAAGGTCCTGAAGAAATTTCTGATGAATTGAAAGTTAAGCCTAATGAAATTCTAGATATGAATGAAATTGCATATAGTTCTATTATATTGCACTTATCTGATAACATTGTAAGACAAGTTGAAGAACACAAAACTACTAGAGAATTATGGACTGCATTAGATACTTTATTTCTGACTAAGACGTTGCCAAATAAAATTTATCTCTTAGAGAAACTGTTTAGCTTTAGAATGGATGGTGGAAAGGACTTGGAAACTATTTTGAGTAACTTTAACAATTTGGTTAAAAGGATTTCCCTTAATGACAAAAAATTTGAAGATGAGGGACATTCTTTCAATCTGAAATAACACCTTGAAAGTTATGAAGGAATATTTGGTAATCTTTAAGGGACCAAAAAGAAACGGATTGTACTATCTTTTGGGAGAGACAGTCACCCCTTAAGATGCTAAATCTTTGACCATAACGGAAAATAAATCCGAATTGTGGCACAAAAGAATGGAACGTCTATGAAATAAATGTTTAAATTATCTAAGTAATCAAAAGTTGCTTGGGAAGGGTACGATGGAGTCTCTTGAATTTTGTGAAACATGTGCGTTGGGCGAGTCACATAGGGTGAGCTTTGAGACTGGACCACATACCACCTCTTGGCCCCTAGACTATGTCCACTCGGATTTATGGGGACCGAAAAGTCATTCTACCTTTGGAGGAATAAGTACTTTCTTTCTATAGTTAATGACTACTCCAGAAAAGTTTGGACTTATCCATTGAAATCTAAATATGAGACTTTTCAAAAATTCCGAACTTGGTTGAAGATGGTGGAAAATCAACTTGATAAGAAGTTAAAAACTCTAAGAACTGACAATGGATTAGAATTTTGCAATGTTGAGTTTGATAATTTCTGCAAGCAAAAGAGAATTGTAAGACACAGAACCGTTAAGCTCATACCACAACAAAATGGGGTCGCAGAAAGAATGAATAGAACTCTAATGAACAAAGTAAGATGTATGATAATCAGTTCTGGATTAGCGAAAGGTTTTTGGGCGGAGGTTGTATCTACAGCTACCTATCTTATAAATCGATCTCTATGTAGTTCTGTTAGATTTAAAACTCCACAGGAACTTTGGACGAGAAGACCCCCAAACCTTTCTCAGATTAGGGTGTTTGGATGTACGGTATATGCACATCAAGTTGAAGGAAACTTAGACCCTAGAGCTACTAAGTGTGTGATGATTGGGTACCCAGAAGGTGTTAAGGGGTACAGGTTGTGGGTGTTGGCCATTAAAGGCATTAAAATCATTAATAGTAGAAATGCGGTTTTCAATGAATCCGAAATACTATGCTTAAAGAATAAAATTGATAATTCTAAAGAGCAGACTAATGAGACTACTTCTCGGAATGAGGTAAAGCTAGCAAGGCTAAACCCCACTCAACGTGAAAATATTGAAGAGGGTGTTCAACAATCTGATGAAAATGTTGTTGACATGGATCAAGGTGAAGTAGGTTCGAGTGAAGTCGAAACTGAAATTGAAAATCCAAATGTTCCCACTATTGAAACAAGTGCTCAAAATTATCAATTGGTGAGAGATAAGGAAAGGAAGCAAATCAAACCAAATCTAAGATATGAAATAAATAATTTGACCGACTTTGCCCTTATCTCGGGTGAATCTATAGAGTATTCAGACTTTCATCATATGAAGAGTCTATGAATAGCTGTAAGTCTAAAAAATGGAAAGATACAATGAAAGAAGAAATGAAATCTTAACTTGAAAACAACACGTGGAAATTACTAAAGAAACCCAAAAATCAAAGAGTTGTTCAATGTAAATGGATTTTCAAACTAAAAGACAGGATTGTGTCATCTGACCCTTTGAGATATAAAGCAAGGCTAGTAGCCAACGGATTTACTCAAAAGGAGGGTGTTAACTACAATGAGATCTTCTCCCCGGTTGTCAAATATAAGACCATAAGGCTGATGGTTGCACTAGTTGTTCAGTTCAATTGGGAACTCGAACAATTAGATGTCAAGATGAATTTCTTATACGGTGAATTAGATGAGGAGATCTATGTGAATCAATCTCAAGGGTTTGAGGTGAAGGAGAAGGGAGATTATGTGTGCAAGTTGCAAAAATCATTGGATGGGCTCAAACAAAGTCCAAGGCAATGGTACATTAGGTTTGACACATGTGTTGAAAATTGGTTTCAAAAGGAGTGAATATGATAACTGTTTGTACTATAATAACATTAGAGCTAGTAGTGAAGTTTATTGCTTCTATATGTTGATGACATGCTATTGGCCAGCTCTAGTAACGCTGAAATTTTGAGACTTAAAGGGCTTCTAAAATCAAAATTCATTATGAAGGACTTGGAAAATGCCAAGAAAATTTTAGGAATGGTTATCAACAGAAATAGGCAAAAGAACATTTTAACTATCGCACAAAGTGCTTATTTGAACAAAATTGTAACCAAATTTGGCATGAAAGAAGTTAAGAAAGTTAATGTACCTCTTGCAGCTCATATGAATTTATCATCATCCCAGTCTCCTAAAGCTGAACGTAAAATGGAAGAAATGAAAAATATCACATATGCTAATGCCAAAGGATCAGTTATGTTTTCTATGATTACCACTAAGTCGGATTTGGCTTATGCTATATGTTTCTTAAGTAGATTTATGTCTAATCCGGGAAAACCTTGTTGGGCGGGGTTAAAATGACTTTTAAGAAATATTGCCGGGACATTAGATGTGAGATTGGTGTTTGAAAAAAGATGTGAACAGCTCTCTTTAAAGGGGTATGTAGACTCCGATTTTGCCAATGATAAGGATCAAAGAAAGTCTACTACTGCCTATTTCTTCACGCTTGGGGATAATTGCATCACATGAAAGTCACAACTTCAATCTATTGTCACATTATCCAGCACGGAAGCTGAATATGTGGCAATAACCGAATCTATAAAAGAATGTATTCGGTTGATAGGAATTTTAGGAGAGTTGAATTTTTTGCAAGTGTTTTCCGTTATTTTCACAGATAGTCAAAGTGCTTTACTTTTATGTAAAAACCCGATTTATCATGAAATATCTAAACATATTAAGGTGAAGTACCATTTCATATGTGAAAAAATTGCTTGTGGTGATGTTATACTTGAAAAAATTCATACCGATGTGAACCCATCTGATATAGGAACCGAAATTCTGAATGTGGGTAAATTTTTAAGTCATGTTTATCTTTACTACATATTGATACGGACTAATTTCTTTTGTAGGTACTAAGGGCGATGATATAGGGCAAAAATATTACCGTCTCATGCACTGTAGCAACTAGAGAGAGCTAGGGGTTTGTGAAAACAAGGTGAAGATTGTGAAAATGTTTCCAAAAACCCAATTACACCTTTCTTCTAAGCGAGAAAAAAGAATCTTTAAGTTGTTGGCCACATGACAGCCTACTATTGGCCACTTACTCTCTCACATGGTCTTGTGTTTGTTTGAAATAATGTGGACCATTGATTTAAAATGGAGGTCCGAGATTTGCATCCACTTTTCTCTCATAATTAAAGTCTGTCGGCTGGAGAAAGTGAGAGACTTCACTTTTCATTTTTCATTTTTCATTTTCTCTTCACTTGGCATATTTTTCTCTTCTCCTCTTTTCTCCGATTTTTTTGTTTAACCAAGTGAAATCTTCAGATCAGTTCCTGTACATTTTTCAGTAATAATTTCAGTAGTGAGGCCCGTATTCTGAGGTCGGTGATCTAGTGTATTTTTATAGTTGCTGCCAGTAGTTTGTGTTTTTCGGCAGCGAGCATTTGGTCCATTTTTTGTCAGATTTTATACTGTAAATTGATACTACATTTGAGTCTAGGTCAGGTTTAGTTAGGGCTATTATTGTGAGGTCTTTTGACAGACCTTTGATCTGTAGATTTCTTGGTGTAATCTGAACTCGTGTTCTCTCTTGGGTGGTTCTTGCATAGCGACAAGCTTGAATTTTTTGCCTTTGAGCCCCCCAGATTAGGCTTGGCAAAATTGGGTCAACAATTTCTACGTTCTTTAATTTTCTGCATAATTTTTATTATTGCTGTGGTTAATTGATTGGTGATTGAAACCACACATTTGGAGAAAAATCCCGACAAGGTCACTCGAGTCATACCAGTTGTTCAAAATATTATGTATACAGGTTCAATGTTTTTCTTTTAAAAATAAATTCTTAAAAATTCTTTTATGAAATCTAGGCCCGTCCCTTTAGATTTATGGAAGACTTTTATTAATTCTTAACAAATTTATAAAAGTCACTTAAATGTCCACAAATTCCACCAAAGTCACCCACTTTGTTTTTATTTTTTTAATTTTTTTTAATTCTCAATTTTTAAGACATCATAAAAGTCTTGAAATATTAATCATAAAAATATTTATAAAAATTTTAAAAGTTTGTAAAAGTTATGGGTTTTAAATTAGAGTTTTTTTTGACGTCTTCAAAAGTCTTTGAGTATTCAAAATATTAATGACTTTTATAAAATCATTCATGTAATGACTGTTAAGTAGTAAATACAAATACAAAATTTATAGAAAGTCTCTCATTCACCTCCAAGACTTTGAAAGATCTCCCCCCCCCCCCAAAAAAAAGGTTAGTCCATATAGTGAGTATTTTAACTATAGCCGAACTGTAACCTTCTAAAATAAAAATAAATAAATAAATAAAATAAGGAATCGAAATAGAGAATCAAGAAACAATCCGATCCTGAATAATTCTTGATTTTTGACGAGGAGCCGTGAGTACGTGGCTCTGAAACCAAAATTTCACTTTTGTTCCTCATCTTCACGAAATATCATTAACATTTTTTTTAGCATAATTCATTTTTAAGATTTCAATTATATATTGCAAAACTTGTCATTCATCTCATTTTGATCATCACTTATAGATTTGCTCCATTTCTAAATAGTAAATACACATAAATAAAAGAAAAATAATAATTACAGCAAATGAAGTTCCATAACTTTCTAAAAAGTACAAACAAATCCATCTCAAAATAATTAAATATATTAAACACATAAAAATTAGAAAAGTAAACATTTCATATTTATATTTAAACTCACCCATCCCATCCCAATCCAAACAAACCCACAGTCAAACCCTACCTCCACAAATTCAGTCGTGTTAAGTTGGGGTGAGTGAAAGTTTTTGAAAATCACCACACTTTCTAGTGGTGAGTTGATATTGTATTTATATTCACATTTACATGATTGTTTATGGCATGATTACAATGAAATGGAAATAATACAATTGAATGAAAGAATTTAGCAGACAAAGTGGAAGGCTACATTTATGGGTCAATGAGAATGCTGGGATTGAGGCTGAGAATCTGTCAATGAGAATGCTAGGATTAAGGCTTGATCCTTGACACTCCCCTCAAGCTGAGCGTCAAATTCGAGCGCACGTAAAGCTTGGATCGAAAGAGTTCAAATAGAGGTTTGGACACACTTTTGGTAAAGATGTCAGAGACTTGCAAATGAGAGGGCACGTATTGGGTTCAAAGCTTGCCAGCGAGAATAAGTTTACGAAGAAAGTGGTAGTCAAGTTTAACATGCTTGGCTCATTTGTGAGAAACTGGATTGGAGCTTAAGAAGATGGTGCTCTTGTTGTCATATAGGAGGAGAGGCCGTTATGGAATTGATACTTTGAGGTCGCTGAGAAGATGTGTGAGGCAAAGAAGTTTAGTAGTAGTGAGAGCTAAAGCACGATACTCAGATTCACAACTGGAGCGAGAAACGGTAGGTTGCTTTTTGGCACTCCAAGAAAACAAATTGCCGCCAAGATAAATAGAGCAACCAGAGATAGAGTGGCAAGTATTGGGGCAGCCTGCCCAATCTGCATCTGAGTAAGCAGCAAAAGTACCAGGAGCAGCGGATGGGTGAAAAATGAGCCCAAAATACAACGTGCCTTTAGCATAGCGAAGAATGCGTTTGATAGCAAGATAGTGGTCGTCAGTCAGAGAGTGGAGAAATTGACTAACAGAGTTGATAGCATAAGGACCAACAAGAGATTTGTAAAGTGTAGGATCTGATAACAAAGGACCATCAGCAGATAGGGTCTGGGATACTACCATGGGGGTATGAACATGTTTGCTGTCAAGTAGTTGGGCACGTGTGAGAATGTCTCGTACATATTTCGATTGTTTGATAAAGAGACCAATGAAGTAGCTAAGAGGACCCAAATCTTTGGTGGCAAACTCAGAATTGAGTTTCCATGTAAAGCTAGCAAGGAGAGATCAGTCGTTGCCTGTAATAATGATATCAACATAGAGAAGCAAATAGATTATGTCTTAGTGCTTATGAAAAATGAATAGCGATGTGTTTGTACGGCTACAATAAAAACCAAGTTGAATGAGAAAAGAGCTTAAACGTTGAAACCAACCACGAGAGGCTTGCTTTAGACCATATAGAGCTTTCTGCAACCGATAAAAATGATTAGGAAAGTGTGGGTCAATGTACCTAGGAGGCTGCTCCATCTGAACATGTTCGGTGAGATGGGTATTTAGGAACGCATTTTTAACATTAAGTTGTCGAAGAGGCCATTTGTTGGTCTCAGCAAGAGAGAGTACAACACGGACTGTGGTAGCCTTGATGACAGGGCTAAAAGTTTCAGTGTAGTCAAGACCAGGTACTTGTGTGTAGCCCTTGGTAACAAGACAGGCTTTGAGATGCTCGATAGATCAATCAGGCAAATATTTGGTTAGAAACAATCATTTGGAACCCACAATGTTGGTGTTGTGGGGCGAGGAACCAAGCGGGATTCTTAGCAGCAGATTTGAATCCTTTAGGCTCAGTACATGCAAGAAGAGCATGAAGAAGGCCAGAGGAACCCATAAGTCTGAGATGCACTGGTGGCGCATTTTGAAGATGCCAGCTTTAGCTCGTATGAGCATAGGATGGGAACCCGATGGAGCAGCCGCAATATGAGTGCGATCAGCAATAGGCAATTTAGTGATAGGCTCCGGAGAAGCTGGTCTGACTTCCGATTGTGATAGAGATGAACCTGTATTACTTGCCCGCAAGGACTCATCCACTGGATCAGTACAAATAATACACGGATTGGATCCAGATTGAGGAATATGTCGAAAATGTGTTACAGAAAAAGGTAGGGATATGTTTGTGGGAAGGGGATTTGGCTCCAGAAAATTTGAGATTTGGAGAGAGGATATGGGCTGGGCTTGTGAGGTATGTTGGAAAAGGAAAGTGGTTTTCATCAAATTGGGCATGATGAGTGATATAAATTATGGAGGAAGTGGGGTCAAGACAACGAAAACCTTTGTAAGATGAATTATAACCGATAAAAATGCAATGAATGCTACGATAGGAGAACTTGTTAGTCATGTAATCACGTAAGCAAGGATAAACACGACAACCGAATGCATGAAAGTTTTCATAATTAGGAGATGAATTGTATAAAGCTCAAAGGATAACTTACCTCCGAGAAGCGGTTGATGATGTAAGCCGCAGTGCTAAAAGCGTCAATCCAGAAATGAGTGGGAACATGAGAGTGGAAAAGTAGAGCCAGACCTGTTTCAATAACATAACGATGTTTTCGTTTGGCACGATCATTTTGTGTGGGTGTATAAGGGCAAGAGAGTTGATGACGAATACCTCAAATACTAAGATGTGCTTTAAAGCAGTTGCTATTGAATTCTGCACCCCATCACTTTGAAATTTTTTTATGCAAGCAGAATGTCGATTTTCCACAAACATTTGAAATTGAATAAAAGTATTAAAGAAGTCAGATTTCAATTTTAATGGGTAAAGCCAAATGAAACGAGAATAATCGTAAATAAATAGAACATGATATGTGAAACCCGAATTTGATTTCACGGGAGATGGGCCCCATAGATAGCAATGAATAAGTTCTAATACTTTTGAAGATTGATATTCATTACGAGAATAGGGTAGACGATGATTCTTTGCAATTTGACATTTACTACATAACACAGGGGATGACAATAAGGAGGTAAGAGAAAGCTGTCCTTTTTTATTTAGAAAAGAAATAACAGAGTGATTCACATGTCAAAGGCAAGCATGCCATAAATCATATGAAGCATGAAGAGATTTATTTTCTTAGGATAGAAATAAAAGCCGAATTGCCACGTTCTAACACATATAGCCCACCATCTCGTTTGCCAGTTGTCACCACCTTTCCCGTTTAGCGATTTTGAACAGTGAAAAAATTATTAGTGAATGTAACAGATAACGGAAAGTCATTCGTTAATTTACTAATGGACAAAAGATTTTTAGTGATGTGAGGAACAAGCAAAACATCTAACAGTTGAAAATCAGGAGAATTGGACCAGTACGGGTTATGGGTAGGGAGGCACCATTTCCGACAATAACACAATCCTTACCCGTATAAGAAGTTGACTGATCCAAGAAAGTTTGGGCTGGAGTCATATAGGCCGAGGCCCCTATATCTAAATACCAATCAAAGGCCTTATGTTCAAAGACGGAGCAGGAAGAATTGAGGGCTTCTGCAAGTTGAGCCTCAGGGGTATGACCATGGCGGTCATATCGTTGTTGGCATCGTTCTGCATAGTGACCCTCTGCGCGACAGATTTGGCAGCGCGGGGGTCGTTTGATGGGGAAGCATCCTTGTCCTCGTCCATGGATGCTAGTTTGACTGTGTTGGTTGCGAGAAGAGGAGCTTCGCTGATTCATCTTCGCAGGGTAGTGATTGGTCATTGTGGATGCGCACGGGGGACGGTATAGCCGGCTCCAGGGATTTTTGAAAAAGCTCACAGCTCTATGCTTTTGGCACAAGATCTAGAAAACTTGGCAAAGGAGTAAGAGCCATTTGGGCCGTGGAGAAGGTCGAGAACTCTGAGCCTAGATCTCGGAGAAACCAATGCACTTTGTCGGTGCCGTCGACGGGTTGTCCAATTGTGTGGAGTTGATCGCACAAGGCCTTGAAGGCTCAGGAATACTCCGAAACAGACATGATGCCTCGTTTCATCAGCTACAAATCATCTTTGAGATGGATTTTACGGGCCTTGGAGCTGTGGCTGAAGGTGTTCTCTAAGGCAACCCACACCTCGTGTGAAGTTGAGAGTTCCACCACTTCTGCCATGGCTTCTTCGGTGAGAGAGGACAATAGAAGTCTGAGGAGGCATTGATCAATTTGTTTCCATGTCACATGTTTGATATTTGGTGTCTGAGAATTTTAAGGGGTAAAACGGGGTAGAGCTTCTATAGTTCCATCCACATACCCGATTAGTTCTTGGCTCTTTAAAAGGCAAAGTAATTAGCTTTTCCATAGGAGATAATGGGAAGAGGAGAGTTTGATTGTAACCATGTGGACAAGGGTATTGAAAGGAAGAAGGTTGAAGGAGGATTCAACAGCCATGGAAATGTAGAGAGGATCGTATGAGGGATGTTAATCTGTAATGTGCTCTAATACCATGAAAGTGTTTGAAAATCACCACACTTTCTAGTGGTGAGTTAATATCATATCTATATCCCTATTTACATGATTGTATATGTCTTGATTACAATGAAATGAAAATAATATGATTGAATGAAAGAATTGAGCAGACAAAGTGGAAGGCTACAATTATGGGTCAATGAGAATGCTGGGATTGAGGCTGAGAATCTGTCAATGAAAATGCTGGGATTAAGGCTTGATCCTTGACAGTAAGGATGTGATGTAGCACAACGGAAAAAGAACGAAATAATTTAACGACCGTGCTATTGAAGTTCTGATGATTCCAAATGAATTTCGAAACATAATTATCTTTTATTTTTTGTTCATTCCTAATATTACTAGAAATCTATGCATCAAACTCTTTGTTTCACACATGAATTTATAGAATTGCACTTGTTGATTTTCAAACATCAATTACGAGAATTTATGAAAATTGGAGAACATCTCAACTGTTAAAATTCAACTCAATTAATTGCCAAAAGGCTCACAACTCGTATTTAAATTAGTAAATAGAATTTGGATAATAACTAAACTCTCGTATAATTACTAACTATAGATAATGATAAAATTAAAGATAATGACTAACTCTAAATTGAATTAAAATTATAAAAATAAAGAGTCTTAATACTAATCAAAGACTAAATTAATTATAAATTGAAATGCAGTAAATTAAATTGTATAAGTTAAATTAAAATCATCAATATTCAATCTTCACCAGGATGGAGGTGAAGGTGGTGAGTGGGGGTGGCATGGGGTGGGTAGTGGTGATGGATATTTTCGTTTTTAAATTTTGACGTGTTACGTGTTTAACTATTTTAAGTGTGATTTATTGGTAGATTTTAAAAGTTCAAGTGACTCCATGTGCATTTTTTCCTTATTTTTTTTCTCGTATTTATTGCCTTTTTTATTTTTATTTATCTAATGAAAATGATAAGTCCATCCTTAATGGTGAAAATGATAGAAGGATGAGTTTTTAACATAATTGAAAGGTCGAGAGATAAATTATGTTGAAAAAAGTTGACGATAGATTTGCTATATTTTGCAAAAGTTGAAGACAAAACGAAAATTGCTGTTATTTTTACAGATACTAGTTACAGGTGAACGCGCAATTTTATAATGTTTTATAAGTGGTGTAAAAGTAAGTGCACATGAACTTGAAGAATTAATTTGTAATATTTTAATCTAAATATGTGAGAAATGTAAGCCCTTGACAATAAATGTTAATTATTATACATGCATGTAAATAGTGAAATATGTAATTGAATGTTAAATATATAATAAAAAAACGAAAAACGATGTATTATTGAAAATAATTTATATGCTTGTGATCTTGAAAATTAATTTAAACTATATACGTAATCCCAGAGAATAATTTTTTATCATGGAATTAAATGAATAATCTAGAAATAAATAAATGTGCATAAACATGAGTAATTTATATATACCTAGAGTAATTGCATAGCCAAGTGTGCATGAACTTGGACAATTAATTTGCACCATCTTGGTATAAAATATGAGAGAAATGCAAGTTCCTGAAAATAAATGTCAATTATTGTCTATGCACGTAAATAGTGAAATACATTATTGAATGTCAAATACAAATTAAAAAATGAAAAGTAAGATACAAATGAAATAATTGAATTGTAGTAAGGTTAGATTAGACGAGAAAATGATTCTCATATTCGCACCACAAAAGTTAATTGTTACACCACATTTTTAGATATTTTTCATATTTAGAATAAATGTTAAAGAAATTTATTTACTTATATATTTACAGAAAATTTATTTTTTCTAAAAAGGTAATAAAGTGTCTTAAAAAAAACACTTTATTTTTAAAGAGTATCTTGATCATGATAGAGAGCATATTTATATTCAAGTATTATAATAATTTATAAATTAAAACATACTCTTTATTTTACTCTTTTTAGCATTTATTCATTTATTTTCCCACACACACTATATATATATATATATATAGATTCCAATGGCTAAAATGATGTGCTCCTGTTTGTTGTAGATTAAAATCAAAATTTTAATAATTTTGATAAAAGTTGACTAATTTTATGGATTCCACAAAATGTGTAATTAAAATTAATTATTAACTTTGACTTGATAATATGATTTTAACATACACAGGACAAGAGCTATATAACATTAATACATAAGTAGTGAAGTATTGAAATTTATAATGTTATTAAATGCAATTTTTATAAAACATAAATGCAAAGTGAGTTTGACCATTCAAAATTTCAAATATAGAGAATCAAACTCACTTTCTATTTTTAAAAAATAGCGTAAATATTTTTCTGAAATATACTTTAAAATTTTAAATATTTGACTTTTTAAAACAAAGAGCATATTTGAAGAGTCTATTGAAAATGCCCTTATAAACAAAGAAATAAATATACGATAATTAACAATGTTTTAAAAATCGGACTGAGTATCAACCTAAAAATTAAAAAGGGTCAAGAGTCAGAGGGTGGAATCGGAGTTGAACTGGGATCGAACCGAATGCCAAAACTAAGTAAATAACACACCTAAATAATAAAAATATTATAACAATTTTGTTAAAAAAATCGTACTACTAAGTCAAACTAAATATAAATCCACGTTTGTCATTATATTTATTATCTTATAATTTATTTTAAAACTTCAAAAACTAATTGTTTATATGTCCAAAATAATTTGCTTTGTTCAATTGAAATTGTTTGTGATTTGCGGATCATGATTTAACTCCATATGATATAGAATGAAGTAGATAATTAAACATGTAAAAATTCAATTGACCAACCTTGTAACTTTTATAATTATCTCACAGTTGACCATAAAGAATGTGGATGAGGATAATCTGTTGAAACTAGCCTAAATTTATCCCACATCTGTTTCCCATAGAAAATGTGCATGAAAATCATCTTTTTAAAATCAACCAAAGTCTTAATTAATATCCGTTAGAAAAAAATTGTGCAAGAGGAGTCTCTTTTAAAACTAGCAAGATGTGAAAATCAAAGGAAATTGGCTTGCTGCCATTGCAAGTGAGCCCATTAGACAAAAGTAGAATCAATCCTTAAAATAAAAAAGGGGAATGTGCAAAGAACCGGTAAAAAACAGTGACCAGTTTTTCCGACTTTGTGGTTACCCGGCCAGTTCATAGGTCTATTGACCAGTTTTTACTTTTATGGTTAATGTAGAGTGATTGGACTGGATTTGAGGTCGACTCCCAGTTTTTCTTTTCCGATTAAACTGGACGGTTCGGTCCGATTTTAATAACATTGATAATTAATAAAAGATAAGTCTATATGATTGCTGAAGAAATCTTTATTTTCGTGTTTCAACCAATTTTATGAAAATTGAACCGAATGTGACAATTCAGTTGGAAAAATTGAAAATATGTCTGAAATTCAAATTTGTTAAACTAGAGATTAAACCTTGAATCGGTTGACTCATACAAGGTTTTCCTGAGTCCACCGATTAGATAAGAAAAAATGAAAAATTAGTTATATCAGTCTTCGAGTTGCTGGATCGTCTCTTTTTTTTTTTCTTTTCTTTTTTTGATATGAAATTTACCTTACCTTCTCGTAGTAGAAATGTTGTTATTACACAATTTCTCCTAATTTTTTTCTTTTGAAAGTTCTATTTTTCCCTTTCTCTCATTGAAAACGTTTTTCTCCTTCTCCATCGATGACATCGCTATCAGTTTACCATGATTCTGATGAAGCGAAAGAGATAAAAATGAGGCTTACAGTTAAACCTCGATAAAGTAATAATCTCGATTATATAATAATTTCTTTCGATCCCGACTTGGGCCAATGGACTAAAGTAATAACCTCGCTAAATGCATTAAGTAATAAAAAAAAGGGGAAAATTTCATAAGTAAGAATTTAAGTATCACACATTTCAAAATTAAGAAAATAAGTTTCAAACTTCAAAAATCAAATTTTTATCAAAATTTATTTATGATTTAATTATTTAATTAATTATTTTATTAATTAAATATATTTAGGTCACAGATCTATACAATTTGACCACAAATTAACAATTTAATTAATTACTTATTATTTTTTGGTCATAAATCAAAAATTTTATGTCACAAATTTTTCAACGATCACAATTCAAAAATTTTGTAAGTCACAGTTTGTTCATCAGTCACAAATCAAAAATATAATTAGTCACGGATTAATTTTTAGTCACAACCTATTTTTCAATCACAAACTAATAATTTTACAGGTTGTAAACACCTTAAATATGTCATGGTAAAATCTTGCTTGTTGAGTTGTCCATCGATGATAGTAAACAAAGCTGCTCAAACCCTCAACCTCTTTGCTTCGAAACCATCTTCTGGCACCTTTTCCTTTATGAGATATTCGATTAGGTAGTTTATCCAACTTTTTTGTGATCTACATTTACGACTTTGAACATGTGTTGAATGTAAGGTTGTTGCAGGACTTGCACATTCGCCGTGCGAGGTAAATTTCACAAGTTAGCAGATATGTGTCTATCCAATGCGTATGTTCACTCATTGTCTTCTAGGGGGCCTCAGTTATTTTAAAGTTTGTAGATCCTCCTTACAGATCTCTTACTTTCATTAGATACACTGTCATCTTTCCATCTATGCTCCAAAATTTCCCATCACCTGCCCAACTATCAACTGAGAGTCACTACAATTCTCTATAGTTGTTTGTAGCTGGGAATTCAAAGCTTAATGAGTATTCCAACTCTTTGAAATTCGGCCCTATCATTATGATCTCTGCCTTGGATCCCTCACTGTTCGAGGATCCATCCACAAAAATTTACCAATCTACCTTTTGTCCTACTAGCTGCTCAAGCAGGGTACAGTTAAACCTTGATAAAGTAATGGTCGATCAACGGTGGTATTGCCAGAGATGTGGCACACACTGACGCACGACTTCTTCACAAAGCAAGTCACCAAAGTGGTGGATCAGCTCCACGGTGTCATTTCACCGCCGCAAATCATGGTAATTGGTCGGAGATGTGGGACGCCACGCTCCGTTATGCAGTGCTACCTCCTGGTGGCAACGACTCGGTGTCATCATTTGAAGTGGCATGGGTAGGTCTCCGGCGACGGCGAGCAGATGGAAAGGAAGAGAGGGAAAAGATGGAGAGTGATGGTAGATGACTAACTAGAAGAGAGGGAGAGTGAAGATGAGACTGGGGGAGTGAAATTAATTTTATTAGGGTTTGGGATTTTGGTTAATAAAAATATTGATTAAAAAAAATTCTGATTTTTGAATTATTAAACTTGCCATATGATTTTAGAATGTTGTATTTTTCATGTATGGTTTTGTGTAATTTCCACTAAAAAAATTGAATCTTTAAGGGCCCAATAAAAATATAAAGTAATAATTACTGGATTTCATTGAGAAAAAAATATATATATAGACCAAAATTTTTCAATTAATCAACAATACCCGTACAATAATAATTCCTTTTGAAAATATGCATCTATAGTTGATTTTTTTTCTTCCCACCTAAATCAAAATGAACCCCATCCTTAACTTTGTAGAGCATACACAACTTCCGGAATATTTTGCTCTTGTTGTAGCAAGTAGTTGCTTAAGGTGACTATTGCTTGAAATGCCTCTTTTGACGACACATTTGGGACAACGCTACTATCATCTGGTTCAGGATCATTTTCATCATCATTACTGTTCATTACCGATTGAATAATTTCTTCGTCTGTAGGTGATTCCATAACTGCATCATTCTCGCTAGGATAGTTCAAAAGATGCTCAACATCCATTACATTTCTATAGTATAAATTAGAGATGACATCATTTAATCCTTGGATACCTTCATCTAATTCACCAACTTCTGGTTCGGGAACATTGTTTTCTTCTGACCGAATCTTGCAATGCCGAAAATAATTTGCAATTGTTGTTGTCTTCACATCAAAATTCCAAGTCATGTTAGCAAAATTAATAGCTGTCAAAATATTAATTTTTTCAGGATCTGGTGCTTCAACCTCAAGGCCTTGTAAGATGCTAGAATAAAAACGACGACGATAATGATCTTTGAATGCTCGAATAATCCCAACATCACATGGTTGGATCTTATACGTTGTGTTAGGAGGTAAGAAAAATAACTCTACATTTCTCAAGCCTTCAACTACCTTTGGATGAGCTGGACAATAGTCTATTCTTAAGAGAACCTTCCTGCCATTCATTCTCTTATCAAACCAACCAACAAAATCTTGAAAAAGCAAGCCAGTCATCCAAGCTTTCTTGTTGGATCGATACTTGCAATTAAGATTATTCATATTCACATTTTTAAAGTATCTAGGATTTGCATACTTACTAATAACCCAAAGTGGTATTTTGTCAGATCCATCACCATTGCAACAAACAACAACAGTAATTCTCTCTTTATCTTTTTTGTGTCCTTCGAGCTGCTTGATAGCAAGTGAATGATCAACTTCCAATCGGTAAAATAATCTAGTTTCATCCATATTGTAAATATCTTTCAACTGAAACTGGTCTAGTTTTGATCGTATTCCAGGTAAAGCATTTTCAATGTTCGCCATGATAACTGAACCACTTTCACCAAAACGTCGATAAGATTTGATTCTATATCTTGCCTTGAAATGTTCTAACCATCCACTAGAAAAACTGAATTCTGGATTAGTTTCACCATACATTTTTTGCAAAAGCTCTTTTGCTTTTCCTTGAATAATTTCTCCATACATGTTCACTTTATCTTGCCTTTGAAGAAACCACTCATATAAAACTTTCTCTAAATCATGGTATTTTGCCAATTTGTGCCTTTTAACGTCGCTATTTTTCATCTCATTTGACAAATATTCCGAGGCCCTTTTAAGAGTGTTCGATATTGTTGATTGACTAATAGTCAAATCAAATTTTTGTTGCACCCATGCTTGCATATCTTTTTGGCTAATAGTTGGATTCTCTTTCTTATGCTCACATATTGCACTCCTCATTTTATCGGTTAAAGTTGATTTTTTTACTCCTTTCAAATGATGAGAAGACATTGGAGGGGAAACAAAATATTGTATGTGCTTGGAATATGTCTTCCAAATATCTAGCTTTTATAGGTAAAGACTAAACATTTTCATTTGCTATGTACGTGAACTTAGTTTTTAGAGACATTAAGTTTCACTAAAACTTTTGAGCTTCCCTATATTCAAATACTACTTTGATTAGTGTCTTTTGATTTTTTTTACCACATACAATGTACATATTTTATATTGAAAAGCTCTCTCTAAAATAATAAATATTTATTTATCGATAAATGAATAATTTATTCATTTATCGATAAATAAATAACATCGCTAAATGAATATTTTTTTCCGATCCCGAGGGTATTACTTTATCGAGGTTTAACTGTATTTTCTTCTTGACGTTGTGTCCATTACAAATGAAGATTCACTTTTGTGTTTAATCACTTTCTTTTTCCTTCTATTATTATTTTTTTACGTAGTAAATTAAGAGTTAATTAATTAATTAATCATTTACTTATTCTAATAAATTATAAATTAATATATTCACTAATTGTAAAATTAGTTTAGAATAGTCGAACTATTTATTAGACTCTATTTGTAATTTTTATACTAAGCGCTTGTTTTGTACTCATTTTTAGAAGATTTCTCATCGTTGGAACAGTACGTAGGCCCAGATGCAACAACAACATACAAATTTCCTAAAAATGCCCCTCTCAAAAACAATGTCATAAATGAAAAAAGGGTAGAAAGGTAATTTTGCCTTGGTTTGTTCAATAAAATTAAATGCACCTGCATTTTTACTGTATAACGGGCAAAAAATGGCTTTTAGACACAGGCTAAATCCGTGTTTGAGCTACATTTTTTCAAAAAAATATATTCTTAAACAATGATTTAATATCATTGCAACCACATATTTTTCAATAAAATAATGTTACACTCAACTTTAATTTTTTTAATTTTTTAACCACACATTTTTAATCAATATACTACTCAAAAACGCATTCTAGGGGTGCGTTTGAACCCCATTATTTGACATTACGATTCTGCTACTCGTACAGAACCGGTTGACAGAGTGAGGTGGAAAGGGAAAAAAAAGACAAAAAAAAAAAGAAATGAAAGGAGACCCGGCATGAACGCACACCCCGGCCCAACCCATTGTATTTTCCCAATTCTCAGACGTCTGCGGATCGAAGGCGAATCAAGGCGATCGAAGCTCCCTGTCTTCTCTCTTCCCTCCGCTAACAGTGCTTCCTCTGTAAAAGATGATTTTGGGACTCTTCGTTGCAGCGAACTAAGCGTGCCGGTGAGACCAAGTTTCAATTTTTATGCATATTTTTTTCGAATTAACCGGTTTTGGAAGCTATATTCGAAGAAAGAAAACTGAGAAAGGGGGTATGTTGTATGGCAGGCGCAGGATTTGGAGAATTTAGAGTGGTTATCTCATTTTGTGGAAGAATCATTCTCTGAATATTCTGTCACCGGGAAGTTGCCACCGAACTCGACGGAGAACCAGTCTGAACCAGAAATTTCAGTTCCCGAGAAGCCTTGTTTCACCACTCCGGTTCAGACCAAGGCCAGAACGAAACGAAACGAAATCGGCAGGTAAATTAGCTGCTTCTGATATGTAGTTTACGTGGGTATGTCGAAGCCACTTTACTTGTAGTTTACATGGGTATATCAAAATCGGTAGATAAAATTTGTGTATTTTTTGAATTTTCAGTAAGAACCGAAAATATGAGCTGAAGTTGACTTATATTATGAGTTTCTTTGTATCACAAGAACTTATCAGAATTGCATTCGAAAAATGAAATTTGGTTTCTGAGACTCTGGGCACTGCAAGATTCTGAGATTCATTTCATGCGTCAAAAGTGAAATTCATTGTATCACATACATGCCTGAGTGTATACTGTAAGAAATGCATTGCATCACTGCAAGAATGTGTAACTGAAATGTGTGTACTGCAGTTTGATGAAGCCTGAGTGAGATTCATTGTTTGACATACATGCCTGAATGTGTACTGCAAGAATGTGTCGCTCAAATGTGTACTGAATGTGTGTATTGCAGTTTATTGAAGCCACATTTCATGTGTCACTGAGTGTGTTTATTGCAGTTTACAATGACAGGACAAAATGATGGAGTCTGCCATGGATGTAGAAGACGTGGTCACATCTTTGCGGATTGCCAAAACAAGGTCCCGTGCCCGTGGTGTAGAGATGCATATGTGAAGTGTTTTGTTGTGGTGAAGAACACTAAGAACAAAGGTAAATTGTTCAAGTGTTGTAGCAAAAATTGTGGATTTTGGGAGTGGGTGAAAGATGGTGAAACGTCCGGTGAATCAAGTTCTGTTGGCAACTCCTTCAATAATCATGTGGCGACCGAATTAGAGAACAACGTCTCTTGCATGTTCGAAACGATGTGCCGATTGACTCAAGAAAAAGACGTGGAGATAACCGTTACAATACGCAAAGGAAAGGCAAACGCGGAATGTGATGAGAAAGGAAAGGGGCCGGCATGATTTTCTCCGCTAGTTTGAAGTCTTTATGTATCTATGAAATGTTTCTTTGTTTGGAATTGTGAATGACTACATGTCAATGTATTGGCTAGTTACTAGGCTGGTAGGAATATCTCGTTTTTGGTGGAATGAATTCAAGTGAAATTGCTATCATTTCCAGCAGTTCCTTATTTAAAATCTCGTTCAGTTTCCTTTACTGTCATTTCCAGCAGTTCCTTTAACCTAATGGATATGAACTAGATATTATGTTGAAACTTGTATGAGCCAGTCAAATTGGAGACAGCAAGTCAAATTGTCTCCAATTTGACTGCTAATGCTAATATTAAAGAACTGGGAACCAATTGTCTTCATTCAACAAGAAGATGTATTGAAATCCATTAAGTACTCCCTCAGAAGTATGGGGCAAAGTATCAGTTTCTTCTAATAAACAAATGCTCCAATCGCATGCTCGTTACATTGAATTGAACAGGAATTTACACTATTAAGATAAACGGCCATTTGGGAGTTTGAATTTCTGCATAAACTTTCTAGGCAGGAGAAGTCACAAGGCTCCAACAACTCCATTACTTTCAACCACCAATTGTCTCTCTCCTATTGGTGTCATTTTAATGCAACTTGCCAACTTGATGAATCGTGGTTCTCGACTAACATATTCAATAACAGAAGCAGAGCTTTCCAGTCAAGCAATTTCCAGCAATGAAAGCCTTGCCTTTGTGTGATTTATCAAAGCTAATGAGCATGCTTCGAGAGATGCTTCAGCCAGCATCGGAAGCCTACAACGGATGGCAACTCCAATTGTCACCTAAAATCCTTTGTGAGTCTTGCATTGATTGGAATTATTGATTCAGCAGCATGCTTGAGCGCTTGTCTTTGTTGCAACTCATCAAAGAATAAACTTCCCTCCTGCACAACAAAGGAAAGACAAATAATTAGATACTTCCTAAAATCCATAAACTAAATATCACTACTAAAAAACATGATAAGCTATATAAGAAGAAGATTTTCAAATTACTGAACCGAACACGATTGTATAGAATTAACGAAAAATTGCAGGCCCAGTCTTTAAACTTCGACAAATAAAGCTCATGAAACTCCCAATAAGTTCTTTGCAGACTTTAGTCACAACATGTCAAAAGTGTAAGAGAAAGAAATGCTCACTGTTAGCTGTTTAGAGTACTGTCTGATAAGAATTGCAGCGAATTCCTCTGGTGTATATAGGTTGCTTGAAGAGTAGAATTGTGCCAAGTAGTAATTGTTTAGGTAGTCGTTACTGCCCATCACCATCTGATGTCCAGTTTCATCAAGAATTCCAGCAGCACCAGATCCATAGTTCACGCCTGTGAAAACATCCTGGTTTCTTGCAGTTGCATCGGGTGGAATATAATTTTGAAACCCCAAAAGTTCACCTGTCAAGAAATTTTACTCAAAACAAATGCCTCTTTTCCTGAAAGTATACAAGGACGTGCTTGTTCATAGAAAACATGATGTCAGTAAAGGAAAATGAGAAGACTAACCTATCAAATCTGCTATATTCTTGCCATTAGTGAATCTCCCAGTCGGCCCTTGTGGAAAATCAATTCCATAAGGCAAATAATTGACTTTTGCACTGGTATTCAAATTATTATTATTTCCATTATCCACTAACGAGTCACCAAAAATGAAGTAGCAAGGAAATTTTGGTTCAGCAAAGACTAATTGTGCCTTTAAACATAACAATACTCCTACAATGAAAAACTGGATGAACCAGACTTCCTAATATAAGCCCATAAAGAAAGAGCCTGCAACACCATAATATAAGCAGCTTCCTAATAAACATAACTAAACGCAACAAATAATCAAACGCTCAAAAGTGACCAAACAGCTGAAGTACAGAGCATAGTAGTTATATTTCAAGATGCAAGCTGCCATATTGTGCAACAGAGCCTCAAAATAAGTCATGGGATATAGCATTCCTCGCTACAAGGACAATAAAGTAAAGTTGAATATAAAGTGCTCCTACATAAAGGCAGGACAATCCAGTCCGCCATTGAAGTACTCATCAAGTTCGATTTATCCATACTTGTCTTCAAAATAAGTCAAAATTCAAAGTGCAAACAAGTTGAAAAGATAGGGCAAGTAGCAGTTATAATATCTAGTTCATATCCATGACATCTCCGATTTGACTGCAAATGGGATTAACAGAAGTTATAATGTCTTTCTGCATATGTTGAACATTGTATGAGCATATGTTGAAAACCAGTTTCCTGCAACAACTTCACATGGACGACTTGGCATGGAAAAACTTATCCAGATGGTGCCTTTTTCCCATGAAAATGTGAGTTTCCTCCATCTCGGTCCGGTAAGCGTGGGTACAAGTATGGCATTTCCTGAAAATCTATGCAATCCGATATGTAATGCCCAAAGAAGGAATTAAATAGATGATGCACTCTCGTAAGTAGAATGTTTAACTATATATTTACCTGGACCATGGAAGTGAACATGATTGCCGGACGAAGGTATAAAACTTTGTTGTGTGAATGCAAGACTTTGACTGTCACCCTGCAAAAATTATTATTTAAGTCATTTGTTGTCCATATTAATCTAATAATATACATATACTTACCATTAGGAGTTGTGAATACGTGAACGGTGTCGTCATGCAATGTTGTGACTGTTGAGGTACTTGAACGATATGTGCGTCAACGCCAACATTACTTGGTCGTGCCTTCGGCCGATTTCCTTTGGAGATACTCGAACTCCCCTGCATGACATCACAACAAGGTCTTTATATTACGTAAACAACACATAAGCAATTGGTAATATTAGTGTATTAACCTTTGCTTTGTTTGAACTAGGCTCCAACGGGCTCTTCTTGCGAAGTTTCTTCGGTGCACCCTTTCTCTTCGCACACTTAGGATCACGTACTCCACTATTCATAGTTTCTTGTGATGGCCCACATTGCGATGCTAGTGGTGTACTATGTGGAGACATGAGATTACTAACAACATTCGACTTCGTTGTCGTTACCATTTCACATTCATGTTCGATCCATTTTTGTATACTTGCAGCTCTGCTTTCATCATCTGCGACCAAGTCCGCCAACTTAGCAAAAGACTGACACAGTTTGTCATACATTAACTGCCCCGGGGTACTAGTCAACCCATCGTAATGAACTGCGACCCTTGTGTGGGATCTACTTACATCTCGCCGCCATCTCCGTAGTACATACCTATCCGGTACGTGTTTGATGCCATTACGAATCAATACTGCAATCATGTGCCTGCATATTATTCCTCGAAATTCGATTAGGTGGCAACTGCAAACAATTTGGCAATCTTCTCGCTGAAAAGAGACGGAGAACGTTTTTCTGTGCGATTGCTCATTGTTTATTTGTTCCTCGCACACCTCATATGTTGTCCCCCAACTTCCCTCCAAAGTCGAGATCAAGTCACAATAAAGCTTCCCGGTAAACTCTTCTTGAACTTCTCTAAACTTTGCAATGGTGTATACAGCTTGAAATTGCTTCTCCATTTCATACCTTGTCGCACATGGCACCATTTGTGAGAAAGACTTGAAATCAGCTTGAATCTCCTTCTCAACTAAAGACTTGAAATCAGCTTGAATCTCCTTCTCAACTTTATTCTTCAAAGCCCGTTCATATTGTTCGACAAACTGCTTTAACGAAGTCTTTGAATGCACATAGCCATCAAAGAACGCGTTCATACTCTCACTGCGTTGAGTTGTGGACATTCCTGTCCAGAAGCTGGTTTTAAAATAACATGGAACCCATCGACATCTGTTATCGTACAGTCCGGACAACCATGCATTATCATGCAAATCATATGTACCAATCATTACCCTCCATCCATCTTCAAATTCTTCAACAAATTGTGAATCGTAAACCAAACCGTGTATAGCATGAAATATTGAACCCTTGTCCACGTGATATCCAAACTTCTCCGGTAACTTTTTCAATATATGCCACAAACACCATCTATGTTTCGTATCGGGGAACACAATTGCAATTGCATTCTGCATTGCCTTGTCTTGATCAGTAATTATACCCTGGGGAGCTTTTCCATGCATACACTGCAGCCATGTCCTAAATAGCCAGACGAATGTATCTGTATCCTCATTCGAGACCAGCCCACATCCAAGCAGAGTAGATTGTCCGTGATGATTAATTCCAACAAAAGGAGCAAACGGCATGTCATACTTATTGGTGAGGTATGTGGTATCGAATGTGACGACATCACCAAATTCTTTATACGCCTGCCTACTCCTATTATCTGCCCAAAACACATTCTTTAGCCTCGAATCTTCGTCCAAATCCATACTGAAGTAAAACGGGGCGCAAGTGGCTTGCATTTTCGAAAAGTATGATTGTATTGCTACAGCATCCCCTTCTCGAAGTCTCAGACGCCGAACTTGCTCAATATAGTTTCGACAATCCTTTTCCATGCACGCCATATTTTCGTATCCACCTGCTTCGACTACTGCAGAGTTGAAACTTTTATGTAATGGAATTCCTGCCATATCATTAACTTGTAGCCGCCGTTTAACATGAGTGCTCAACTCTCGATTACATCGATATAGTCTCGACTTGGATGGACTTGTTTTATGATTATGCTCCAAATTTACTGTGTTTATTCTCCATATTCCGCGACTGTCCATAGATGCAGTCAACCTCGCCTTACAACCTGTCTGAATGGTTGGTTGCGGTTTCAAAGAACCAATTGTAGTACTACTTCTTTTTCCTTCACGACTACAAGTTAATGTCACATATCTCACAATACCATCGTTATCCTTTTTGGAATTTCTTTTCCTGACTGGAAAACCTTCGGCATACACAAATTTTTTGTAGTAGTCAAACAATTCATTTTCATCATTGAACTTCATTCCAACCTCGGGCACTCGCAAAGGCACATCATCTGTTGCTACAATTTCATCACCCAATATGTTCACTTTCTCCACGACATTCTCAGACTCAGATTCTACCAAGACAATGTCATCCAAATTCTCCAACATATTTTTCCCTGCAACCGTAAACGTAAAATCAGTTGCAATAATGATTTAACCAACCTGTAACTTTCTCTCTAAAAATAATGTCAACCAACATTGGACCAAAAATTAATGGTTTCTGAATTGAATCAGTTCATACCCCCACCAACACACAGGTTATAAAAGGACAAAATTATGCAACAAACTGCACGAGAAAATGCATTTATAGGGCCAAATTGCCGTTCATATTGTATAGATCTGGTAGATTTGTTGTAATCTCATATCATTTTTGTATATCACCTTCCTTTCAATTCCCATAAACAGATTTCAATTGGGGCTCCCTTCTACGCATAAATGGCGGATTCGCTGGGGATGCTACAGGCGTAGCTTTTAATCGTTTGAACGGAGTGTTAAACTACCAACAAGAAGGAGCAGAGACGCTTTAAAAATGCATACGAAACGCCATTGCCAGAAAACTCATAAAATACGCCATTGCCAGAAAACTCATAAAATATGGGCAGATTCATTGATTGTCAAACTTTCTTAAAATCTTTAACCTTTTGCTTTACAGTAAAATTAATTTTCACAACAAAAAATGAACAAAAGTTTGTGATTAACTCAAGAATAAAAACCACCATTCTAGCCGACATTACAGAAATTTTAAAATCGGAAAATACCCATTAACTTTGTCTGCCATTTTTGAATAACTGCTTCCAATATCTGTCTGAAATTTGTAGGCACTGCAAATGGTGAAATTTGGAGAAAATGGGCCGTATTTCGCTCGAAGAGGGTAAGAACCGTTCGCGCCTAATAGTCGTCCTCCAGTTCGCGCCTTGTTCGAAGCTGAATATTTCTTGTCTTGTTTAGTGGGTATAGCCAGTTCGCGCCTTGTTCAAAGCTGAAGATTTACCCAGTTCGCGCCTTGTTCGAAGCTGAAGATTTAGTGGGTATGGGGTCGGGTAGGGAAAGATAAAGGAGGAAATAGTTTTTAATTGTTTAGTGGTTGCCAACTTGTGTATATTTTAATCAACAATTCCACCTCCTTCTGTCAGGGACCGTGTGAACTACCGTGTACAACAAGACTTATTCTTGACATTATAATGAGATGAATAGTGTTTTTTTAAAAATGAGTGGTTAAAATTTTTTTGATTTACGTATAATATTATTTTATTGAAAATTGTGTGGTTAAAATTAGGAGAGAGAAAAATTTAATTTAATATAATGAGAAATAATGGGGTTCGAACGGGGGCTAAGAAAAATAATGTGGTTCAAAGAAGGGCTAAATATACCCCGTTTTGTACACATTAATGTAAAAATGAGAATGAAAAATATAGTCATTACGAACTCCACACAAGAGATAGAAAGTCTAATATAGTGGCTTGATATGATAGATAACAGTCATATTTTTCATTTTAATGGGCAAATAATGAGAATCAATCAGGGGCTATATAATTACTCATTCAACCAGTTTAACTCCGACACTGTCCCCGATTTAACTTCTTGACCTAAATAATAAAAATTATAAATTGCCTAAATCCGCTTTTTTATCTTTTTCCATGCGTGGTCGAGCAAATGTGTTGGGTTCAAACATGTTTAAAACTTATTTCTATTTTCTAGCCTTTGTTTGATAACTTTAAAATATTTATTTTTTTAATGACCATGAATGTTTGGGATAGCTTACGCACACATCGACTAATCCCACGGGACCCTGAAATTTAAAGTCGAATACTCACCTCAATAGTCTCGAGGGAATTCGAATTGATGACCATTAGGGAGCAAATCCAAGACCTGACCACTGAATTACCCTTTAGGGTTTTGATAACTTTAAAACTAATCACAAATTTATTAAAAAAATAATTTGTACACTTAATTTCATAAATTTATTTATTTTTTACTTTTTAATACACATTCTAAAATAAAATTACTTTTTACAAAATTTATTTTTGATAAAGTTTCCATCAAACAAGTTATTAATCTGACAATAAACGAATTATGTTATTATTTTATTTTTATAGAAGATTTGCATAATCAACTCTAAATCCACGCAAGCTTGATGTTCTATATTGTCCCTCAAACGCTCGATCCAGTGATCTAAAACATAGTGGACAAGCCTGTCATTTGTTCGATTGAAGAAATTCTAATCCAATAATGCCCCCGTTTGGCCCCTATTAAATTTCATTACATTACGTTCCTGTTTGGCTCCCATTACGTGAAAAAATTAATGAGTGGAATAATATTTTTTTGAAAAATGAGTGGTTGAAAAAGAAGGAAATTTTTTTGATTTACGTGTAATATTATTTTATGGAAGATTGTGTGGTTGAAAATAGGAGAGAGAAAAATGAAATGAAATGTAATGTAATGAAAATTAATGGGCTCAAATGGTTCTATTTTTCTTTTTCGTATTTTCAACCACACAATTTTTCATAAAATAATATTACGCGTAAATCAAAAACTTTTCTTTCCTTCTCAATCACTCATTTTTTTCAAAAAAATAATATTCTACCCATTTTCATTTTTCGAAAATGGTGGCCAAACGGGGGCAATATTTCCTTGTTCGATAGTGATTATAATAATTGATTTTTTTTACTATTAGATATAAAAGTTGATCCTAAATGTGAGCGAATAAGTAAAAAATGATTGCTAAAATAGTAAAACAACGATCAAAAATTGATTTTTGGATGAAAAATTACTACCAACATACTATTGTAAAATTGTACTCCATTTGCTTGCCAGGAACAGTTTAGTCATTGTAACAAATGCATAGTTTTGCGCGTTCTCACCCACCAAATCGAGTTAAATTGTTCCAATGGTCATTGAACTTAAGTTCATCTCTTTGATTGGTCACTGAAGTTTAAAATGTCAAGTATTGGTTATTGAATTTAGGTCCATGTTTTTGATTGCTCACTGAAGTTAAAAATGTCGAGTTTTACCCATCGAATTTTGAAAAATATTATACATTGTACATCGAACTTTGAAAAATATTATACATTACTCATTGAACTTTGAAAAATACCGTATATTATTCACTTTAAATTCGATATTTTTCAAAAGTCAACAATTACGTTAGAGAGTAACGTACAGTATATTCTGAAATTCAGTGGCTAAAATTCGATATTTTAAATTTTAGTGAACAATCTAAGACATAAATATAAGTTCGGTGAGCAATCGACGATATTGACGTAAGTTTAATGACCAAAATTTGCCATTTTAAATTTTAATGACCAATCATAGACATGGACCGAAATTGAATTGCCGTTGGAACAATTAACTCCACGAAATCGGGAAGCCTCTCTCCGTCTCTCTCATACGGTTCTAGAGAGAGAGAGGGCATACGACACCCAAGTCCAACCCTTCGCCTTCTCCCATTTAGAAACACATTTTCAAGCAAGACCATGTGCATATGTGTATATACATGTACTGTATAACGTAAACATACACATCACAGTTCTTCAATTGCTATTTTAACCTAATTGAAAAATTACCAATTTCTTGGAGCTCAATTTCAACCTAAAGGGGAAAGATTACTGTACCAGAGAATTACGGGTAGAGTAACTGCTTAAGGAAGAATCAAGAATGGGAGTTCCGGCTTTTTACAGGTGGCTTGCAGATCGGTACCCGCTGTGTATTGTGGACGTGGTGGAGGAAGAGCCCAGGGAGGATAAAAATGGGGTGTCAATACGTATTGATGTAACTAAGCCTAACCCTAATGGCGTAGAGTTTGATAATTTGTATTTGGATATGAATGGTATCATTCACCCCTGTTTTCACCCAGAAGGCAAGGTGATTTTTTTATTTTCATTTTTTTCTGTTTCTGTTTATAAATTTTTTGTTACATTTACTTGAATTTTGGGTTGTAGTAAATGTAATTCTATGTACAGGCTATTTTATGGTTTGTGATTATGGAGTTCACACTATTATTATGAATAGTTATTTTATAAAAAGGAAGTATTGTGCTAGAGAATTGGTTGTTTGCCTATTACAATTCTGGATATTCATAAACTACACAGCTCATAAGTGCAGGAAAATGCAAATATATGCATTTTTTTCTAACCTCCCATTCGCAAAGGATTCATTCATGCTGGAGGGAGCACCTAAATTCAATGATCAGTGTGATGGTTAATCGGAGGGCTACTATTTGGGGGACATCAGATATGTTGCCGTTATCATAGACTACTTGTATGATATTTAGAAGAAAATAAGGACTGGAGACTCTTTTTTGCCTCAAACCTTCTGAAGCTCTATTTAGCAAGAATATTTTTTCAAAACCTCTTAAGCTCGCTGTGGGTACTGTTTGAATTGACTGACTGAGGAACTAGAGTAAAGGGTGCACTGTTAAGTAGAAAGTGGAAAAGGAAAATTGAGTTGAAGCTTCGAGAGAAAACCAAAAGGTTGTAATTCTGAGAATCTAAGTGTATACATAGAACACTACTGAAGATTAACAGAAAGGTAAGTAACCAAACAACAGTGCTAAGTGACAGTGAAATAGCTTCTGTGGCTAGTAACATGGCTGGTGCTTCAGTAAACAAATTGAACATCAAGTTCAATCGCCTTCTCTAACAAGAAGCGAACACCATCATAAAGCTTTGGGAGATAATCGATGTCTTGGTGCTGTAGAATGACATTTCGAGCTTGATGTCTTAATCAATCAACCTCATGGTCTGAATGTCAAGTAAAATGTACAATCAACTTGTGTGCTTGTAATTAGATTGTTTTTGTATATTTGAAAGAAGGTATTGACGTAAACCTACCGCGTGGCCTAGCATTGACTGCATCATGGTTCTTCTGTTGTCAATGAACACTAAGTTTTGCAGATGTTTAGCTTGAACAAGTATTGGTTCAAATGGTTCTTGACATATAGTACAGGAAAAGAATTTTTTGATGTTCATAAATAGTTCATTTTCATTTCTATATTGGTTTTGAAAAGGTGTATGAAATGGTTTGTTAAGAGTTTTTGGTCTTTTTGGAACCAGTGACTATATATTCATGAAAGTTATATGTAGGTTGGATGACTGTTAAATTAAGTAGTGCCAATTGAAGTGATACTCGTGAGTTTTTATTGGAGAATTTCATTTTTCTCCGTCTCTCAAATCATGGTTTTTATGTTGTGAAACACATGACATTTGTTCTTTTGAATGCAGCCTTCACCTACCACATATGATGATGTATTTATATCGATATTTGATTACATTGACCACCTTTTCTCTTTAGTTCGCCCAAGAAAGCTCCTTTTTATGGCAATCGGTACGCTTTTTCATATAACATTTTCACAACTTTTCCATAAAGGGTCAAAGTTAGCTTTACCCATTTTTCCTTCTTGCAGATGGAGTGGCTCCTAGAGCTAAAATGAACCAACAAAGGACTCGTCGTTTCAGGGCTGCAAAAGATGCTACAGCAGCTGTATGGGTGTTCTCTATCTCAACAAATTCAAAGTAGTCATTGAAAGTAAACTTCTCGGCGGTCATGATATTATTGAGCTCTTTGTTTCTTATTATCCCGTGTCAGGAAGCTGAAGAAGAAAGATTGAGGCAAGAGTTTGAACTTGAGGGGGCAAATTTATTGCCTAAAGAGAAGCCCGAAACATCCGATTCAAATGTCATCACCCCTGGCACGGAATTTATGGCAGTGCTTTCTGTGGCCCTTCAATATTATGTACAGTGTAGGTTGAACCGCAATCCAAGTTGGCGCTTTGCAAAGGTTTGATCAGCATTATCTTAGAATATTTTCACTTACCACTATATTTTGGGATTGTATGAGTCTGTTATATTTAATCTTTTCTGCTGTTTCTTGTTACATTTCTGGTTTCACAACAGAATGTATCCCTTAATTTATCTATCTTGCTGCATTGGGTGGTTATTTGAAGGTTATCCTGTCCGACGCTAATGTTCCTGGTGAGGGAGAGCACAAGATTATATCCTACATTCGATTACAACGGAATCTTCCTGGCTTTGATCCAAATACCAGGCACTGTTTATATGGTCTGGTGAGTGCAAAAATAATGATAATAGAACTTTTTTTTATAGTTAAATCATTATTTTAGGTCTTCTTCCTGTTTTGGTTGACTATTTTTTGTTCAAGACAATTTTGTTTGTGTATTTGGACTGCCATATCCTGAAAACCATTCATTCGTATTTTTTCCAAATAGGATGCAGATCTGATCATGTTATCTCTAGCTACACATGAAGTCCATTTCTCAATATTGAGGGAGGTCAATAGCTACAACTTTTGAACTCTATTGTTATCCAAAACTCATTCTTCTTCTAAATGATGAAGTTTGTGTTGTTGTTTCTTATGCTGTAGGTAATCACTCTGCCCGGCCAGCTGGAAAAATGTTTTCTCTGTGGCCAAGCTGGTCATCTGGCTGCTGAATGTCGTGGGGATCAATCTCACAATGCAAATGGGAAGTTGTTAAATGACATTCCCATTCATAAGAAGAAGTATCAGGTTAAATAATTACAGCCATGGGATCAATTTGTTGTTTACTTTTATCTGTCTTGTTCACTAGTCTCTCTTTGACAACTCTTCTTTTGATGCATCTTTATTTTGTTGGTAGTTTCTCAAAATCTGGGTGCTGCGAGAATACTTGAGATATGATATGGAGATTCAGAACCCTCCATTCAATATTAACTTTGAAAGGCTGGTGGATGACTTTGTGTTTTTATGTTTTTTTGTTGGCAATGATTTTCTTCCTCATATGCCCACCTTAGAAATTAGAGAGGTATGGACAAATTTCGAAAGTTCTTTGATGTTTTATGGATGTTGGCATTCCTGATGAAAGAATATATTTTTATATATACTGACATGGATTTCGGGCTCAGGTAGTCATGAGTTTTTATTTGTAACTATAACCATCTCTGGATATATTTTTACTTGGGAATTTTCATCATTTTGAATTGAAACGCCCTTTCCCCCTGTAAATATCACATTTTCACTATTATCTGTTTCAATGATGTAGGGTGCCATTAATTTGCTCATGTTTGTTTATAGAAGGGAATTCACGGCTATGGGTGGTTATCTTACTGATGCGGGTGAGGTAATCTTCTTTCAGCATAATACCAGGGATTGATTTAGCAAAACATGAAATTCTCATCATGGACGATTGTGTATATGATTTTTTCGTAATGTCCTTATTGGAGATTTGAGAATAAGTATCCTGTCAAAGAAATTGTTACCCTCCAATTCATAGAGCATGTTTGGGTGGGCGATTATTTACATTTTCTAGATTTGTGAAAGATATTTGTTTGGATCCCATTATTTGTGATGCTAAGGACTGGACTGTCTCCTTTTCCTCACAACATGGTTTTTCCTAGAATAAAAGGCATGTGACGGTGAGAGGGACCAGGAAATGAGAAGTAAATTATCTCTGCGAGTAACATATTGATTTAATAATATTCTAAAATATTAGTCATTCAAATGGTAAGCTCACCTGAAGTAAAATTTTGGCATGAAGATGACCTTTGGTTGCCCTCCTCCTCCATCCCCCTTTGTCCCCACAATAAATAAACGCACATGAAAATGGAGAGAGTAGAAAAAGTAACTAGGAGAAATGCTTCTATACGGTATCAATTCACATCTCCCATTCAATTTTAGAATGCAATGGACTTATCAAAAAAAATAAAATATAATAATAATAAAAAATAAATAAATTGGAATGTAATGGACAGTGGTGAAATTAAGAGATGCTTTAGAATTAATGTTTTTTTTACAAGTACCTACCTAAATGTCTTATTCATTGAATTCCCTCTTTTTTTTTTTTTTTTTGGGAATTATGAAGGTTTAACTTCAGTAAC